GCTTGGCGGGGACGCAGGGGTCAGATGACCCTCTGGGATGGGGACGGCACGCCCGGGCTGCTATTCCGGGGCTCAAATCGTGACCACCTATTTATAGTGCTGGGGGGGGGCGGGGGGAGCCTTGGCCCGCCCCACACGGGCAGCAGCGAGGCTGTCCTGCGGCAATGTCAAGGCGGCCGCGGCGGCGGCGTCACGGCTGCTGCAGGCTGCCCGCACCTGTCACGGCTGCCGGAGGAGACAGAGGGGCCGCAGCCCCGCAGGAACCCCAGCGCCAGCGGGCACTGTGCGAGGCGAGGACGACGTGGCCGGCCAGATGGGCAGCACCATGGACCCCCCCGGGGGCGGGTACCTGCACCTCGGCGCTGTGACGTCCCCCGTGGGCACGGCCCGCGTACTGCAGCTGGCCTTTGGCTGCACCACCTTCAGCTTGGTGGCCCACCGGGGCGGCTTCGCGGGCGTCCAGGGCACCTTCTGCGTGGCCGCTTGGGGCTTCTGCTTTGCCCTCTCGGGCCTCGTGGTGGCCTGTGAGTTCACCCGGCTCCACAGCTGCCTGCACCTCTCCTGGGGCAACTTCACGGCGGCCTTCGCCATGCTGGCCACCCTGCTGTCGGCCACGGCCGCCGTTATCTACCCGCTGTACTTCACCCGGCTGGAGTGCCCGCCCGAGCCCGCGGGCTGCGCCGCCCGGGACTTCCGCCTGGCAGCCAGCGTCTTCGCCGGGCTCCTCTTCCTGGCCTACGCCGCGGAGGTAGCCCTGACCCGGGCCCGGCCGGGCCAGGTGGCCAGCTACATGGCCACGGTGTCAGGGCTCCTCAAGATCGTCCAGGCCTTCGTGGCCTGCATCATCTTTGGGGCACTGGTCTACGACAGCCGCTACGGGCGCTACGTGGCCACCCAGTGGTGCGTGGCCGTCTACAGCCTGTGCTTCCTGGCCACGGTGGCCGTGGTGGTCCTGAGCGTGACGGGCCACACGGGGGGCCTGGGCTGCCCCTTCGACCGTCTGGTGGTGGTCTACACCTTCCTGGCCGTGCTCCTCTACCTCAGTGCCGCGGTCATCTGGCCCGTCTTCTGTTTCGACCCCAAGTACGGTGAGCCCGGACGGCCCCCTGACTGCCCCAGAGGCGGCTGCTTCTGGGACAGCCAGCTGGTGGTGGCCACCTTCACCTACGTCAACCTGCTCCTCTACGTCGCCGACCTCGCCTACTCCCAGAGGATCCGCTTCGTGCCCCCCCTGTAGCCCTGTGGGCAGCAGTCCACCCACCTGTGCTCCCCAGGGACTCCCGGCACCTCGGGGGGTGGCCCGGGTGAACCCAGACTCCCAAGGAGCAGGCTGGAGGGAGGCAGGCAGGACAGGTGCTCCTGGACCTCGCGCAGTGCTCCGCAGCTAGGCTTGGGGAGGAGGGAGGGAAGACAGACGGGCTGGCAGCCCTGAGCAGGACATAGGCGAGCATCCTCCCCGAGATAGCTCCCAGCCCTCTCTGTCTCTTTCTATCTCCATCTCTCTCCCTGTCTCCCTCTCTCCATTTCCTAGCTTTCCCTGGCTCAGTGCTACCCACTGTAACACAAGAAGCCTTTGAAGTAGGCGCTGTGGTGACCCACTTTAGAGATGGGGACACTGAGGCTAGGATTTTGGAGGCAGCCTCACGTGCACGTCAGCGTCTGGAGATCACACTCAGGCTGTGTGACCTAAGCAGAGTTGGAAAGGGGACAGTTCCTGCAGGTCTGGGAAGGGGATGGAAAGGAGCCCAGGAGAGGGTCAGAGCTGGACCAGCAGAGGGACAAGGGGACCTGGCTCCTGTAGACTTGAGGGAAGGGTCCCCAGAGCCCTGGAAGGAGGCTGTCTCAGCAGGGCCCTGCTGGGGAGTCAGTGTGCGCCAGCTCAAAGAGAAGGAGCCAGGACTTGGGGCCCCACCTTGCCCACCTCCACGCGGTTATAACAAGGACAAGGGCCACGGTGTGGTCACACAAGGCAGCCTCGGAGGCACCACAATGAGCACAGAATGCTGGGGGGCGGGGGGCGGGGAGGTGGGTCCCCACCCAGGGAGGGAGTGCCCGCCAGGCGCTCACCATCAGCCCTGGGAATCAGCTTCTGCAGAGCTTGTGGGCGGGGGGGGGGGGGGGGGGGGGGGGGGGGGGTGCCCAGGGAGGCTAGTCTGGAACCGCTGGGGGAGGGCCCAGCCCCTCGGCCACAGCGCCTGGGCCCCGGGTCCCTCCCTGGTACTCCCAGGCCCATGACCTCCACTCAAGTATCCGTTCACCTGGCCGCTGACCACCAGAGCCCATCGGGACTGTCACCCTCCACGCTCTAGCCAGCTTCTCCTGCTCAAGAGCCCAGACGGGGCCACCCCAGAGTACAGCAGCCCCTTGGCCCAGCGAGGGGTCTAGGGCCTCGAGCAGGAAATAAACGCCAATGTTGACCCGCATCCTGGCTCTGGTTAGCAGTCTCTGCCCAGGGGACAATGGCCAAGGGCACCTCCTGGGCCATCCCTCCAACGTGAGTCGGAAGAAGGGCTGAAACTAGGCTTGACTGAGGGAGGACGTGGCCGGGGGACAGCCTCTTAGGGAAGAAACAGGCAGTGTCCTCCTCCTCAGTGGGCAGTGGGAAGGGTGAGGGTGCCGCCAAGATCGTCTCCCCCCTCCCGGTGGGGCTCCGGGTCACACCGCCCACACCGCTGCCGGGGGCTGCCAGGGGCACACCTTGGGCAGAGGGACCGCTGTGCCGGGGCAGCCGAGCCCGAGCAGCTTTTAGGCGGGCTTCCCAGGGTTCCCTTGCGCTGGCGCCAGGCAGAGTGTGAGACAGGCGGCTGACAGGACAGGGGTCCTTCACCTGGAGGGGCGGGTGTTAGGGCTCAACGGAGATCCTCAAAGGGGCCAGGAGCCTCTGTGTCCTGGAGTGTCCTGACGGCCCCCACGGGCTGAGGGAGAGTGAGGGAGAGTGGGGGCTAGATGGTACCCTCTAGGGTACATCTCCAGGTGACAAAGGAACATGGGGGCCACGTCCTTCCTGGCCCACAGGGAGGCCTGGACACCGACCAGTCTTCCCTCCTTTTCTAGCCACACTTCAGAAATGGTCATCTGTCGCCAACTCCCCAATCTCCTCAGTGCCCAGGGGCCTTGTGCCTCCAGGGCACCACCCACCCTCAATTGCAAAGGTCCTGAGAGGGAGACAGAGGCGGGGAGGGATCCAGGACTCAGCATAAGCATGGCGGGGTCCCCCAGGAGGAGCCTTGGGATGTTCTCCCAAGAGTCACCCCCGGGGCAAGAGGACTTTCTCAGTTTGGAGGAGGGAGTTATTTGTTTTTATCACTTGAAAAACAGTACTTTCCAAAGGAGGGGGTTCTGTCCTTTGATTATACAGCCAGGCAAAACTCAGCGGGACTGCTGGGTTTTCTGTGTATGGGTTTGAGTCTGGGCCACCCCCAGACAGTCCACAGGGGACAAGAGGAGTGGGCTCAAGGGGCAGATGTCAGTGGGCGGGAGTCAGGGGCACGTGGGTCCTGAGGTAGGGGTTCCGGGGGGTCAGAGGTGTGGTGGGCATGGAGCCTGGGGGCGCCGACTGGGGAAGGGCTCCTTACGACGGCCCCTCCCTCAGAGGGTGAGGGCTAAATGCCCAGATGCAGGCGTGCAGAGGAGGCCAGGAAGTCCACCTCGCACACACGGTCGGCACACAGTGGTCTGGTGGCATTATCGTCAGTCATCGCTCTGTCAACGAGAGCTCACAGCCCTGCTTCCGAGGCACGACATCGGGTGATGCTGAAATCAGGTTTTAGAGCAATCTGTCACCATTGAAGACACAGAACTGAAAAAATAGAGCAGCTCACCCCTTCCCCGGGGCTGGGGGCAAGGACGGATTGTCAATGATTATAACTTCTTTTATTCGTTCATTTTTTTAGAGGGAGAGAAAGCTGGGGAGGGGGGCAGAGACAGAGAGAGGGAGAGAGAGAATCTTAGGCAGGCTCCATGCTCAGTGGGGAACCTGATGTGGGGCTCAATCCCTAGGATCATGACCTGAGCTGAAATCAAGAGTCGGACGCTCACCCGACTGAGCCACCCAGACGCCCCAATGATGATGACTTCTTACTTTGCCCTTAACTCTACTGCTAAGACCCTGGACTATCCTGAAACCCAAATGCAAACTCAACTCGGATGAGTTCTGAGCGAGTCCTCAGGGGAAAAATGACTCGTTCTTCCAAATGCAGGGCCAAAGATGTCAGGATTTCAGGTGACCAGATGTCAGGAGACATGGGGGTGCTCCATGGGAGCTGGGCGAACACTATGGGATCTCATCTCCCATTTACTGGTTTATCACCCCCCACCCGAAGCACCTGTTTGGAGCGGTTTACATGGTAACTGGTCTGCGGCTTCTGTCACCCCAGAGCCCTAGCGAAGACTCCCAGAGAAAACCCCAGTTGGGAAGAAGAGGGTCTGGATGTCAAAGGGGATTGACCTAGACCTCCCAGGTGCCCCTTAACTTTAAGAGCCCAAAAAGGCTTAGGCTATCCTTTCCAGTTTCCAAGCCTCTTGGTACATAGAGAAATTTTTACCCTTTTTTTTTTTT